TCTGTAAGCCTTCACCTGAAGTCCAATAAAAAAAAAATTTAAAAAGAAATGGGCAAAGGACTTGAATAGGCATTTCACAAAAATAAAAAAAAAAAAAAAAGAACACAGGCTGCTGGGCCCCATCCCAGAAATTCTGGTTCCATCAGCCCAGGTGGGGCCTGAGAACCTGCATTTGTAACAAGTTCCCAAGTGATGCTGTTGCAGCTGGACTGGGGACCAGACTGTTAGAGTCCAGAGGACTTCAAAGCTCATGGTTTTCTTGTTTTTGTTTGGATAATGCAGAAGTCCAAACATTAGAACTCCTTTAAAAAAGAAGAGGATGAAGGAGAGGAGAAGGTCAATGGATAGAGGAGTCTAAGGGAAAGGAAAAAGTAGGTATGAAGGAATAGAGTACAACGTAGACTGAGGTAAAATACAGCATTTAAGGATTTCCAGGTAAGCTAGGGATGCAGAAATCCAAGATGATTCAATTTAATTCTCAGAACGTTATCTCTTATCTAGGCATCATGGAAGGAAGGTGAGATGACTGAATTAATATAGCTTCTCTCAAAACTCATTTTAAAGGGACTTTTGTAATACTGTGGATATGAATCCTTGATTTTCTGTTACATAACTAATTTCAAATATTCTATTCCATCATCTGTGTAACTGCATTCAATTTTTGTTCATAAAAAATATGGATCACAGATATGAGACTAAAAACAAGTCAGTTTACCATGCTTTTATCCTTGCTAACCCCCTCAACTCTGCCATAAAAGCCCGCTGCCATCGAATGAATTCTGACTCATAGCAACTCTATTGGACAGAGTAGAACTGCCGCATAGGGTTCTCAAGGCCGTAATCTTTATGGAAGCAGATCGCCACATCTTTCTTCCTTGGAGTTGCTAGTGGTTTGAACCAGTGACCTTTCGGTTAGCAGCTGAGCACTTAACCATTGTGCCACCAGAGCTCCTTTCAACTCTGCCACCACTCTGTAAATACCCAAATTTGGATCCATTTAGTTATCAGCTTTCTTCCATTCTGTACCTACAGCTGAGCATTGCCGGGGAAAATCGCACTACCACGCTTAAAAATGTTTTCCCCAGAAGGCAAAATGACCTCCCTGAGAGAAAAGCAGTGGGAACAGAGATGTAGGCTCCCTCCTGAACCTGTGAAACAAATGAGGACCACGTGGTGTGACTGCCCTCCTATGAATACTCAAATCTGTAGTAAAAATCCAGAAGTAAGATCTGTTTGGTATAATTTGGTTTGTTGTAAAAGCTAGTAAAGGGTGTGAAGTTTTTTCTGAATTGATTCAGGGTCAGAGATAGAAAGGATAAGATTAAATAAAGTTTGTAATTTTCAGAAATTGTGGATGGGATATTGGGTGCACCCATGTTGTGAATTAATTACGAGCTTGACCCCAGGTTTATCTTAGATTTTGAGGGATGGAGGGCCTCCAACAAGTGACTTAGGATAACTTGTAGATTTATACCTCTCTAAATTTATGGTTTTCAAACTTCCCTGGGTCCTCTAGATTATTTTTATTTGTTTATGGTTTGTTTCCCATTCCTTTCCCCTCTATAATTACTTTAACACCCAACACTATCCTCAAGGCATAAACCTGATCTTCATTATGTTTTCTGAGAAATTGAGGCCATGAAGACAGAACTCCCTCCAACTCCGTATTCTCCTTCTACCATTTCAAGACCAGACCCGCACACTTCCTTCCCTTCCTCCATGACCCGTTGACATCAGTTATTCTCCTCTCTCCTTTATTTTCGATCTCTCTCTCTCTCAATAGCAGACCATAGACTGTTCAAGCTTCTCATTCTTAAATGCAGATAGCTCTCAAACACAAATTTCTACTTTACTAAAACCTTATGGCTCACCTTGTTACAAAATTTTTTGGGGAAAAAAAGAAGTAATTTCATTTTCTGTCTCTGTTTTCTTAATTCCTCAACACACTAAAATTTGAAACTTGCTTCCGTGACCTTGACCTAAAATTGAAAGCATTTCAGTGACTTTCTACTTCTTTCTTCTAAAGGGGACACTCTAACTTTCTATTGATTCGTTTGACCTTCTGATGATTCCTTACTTCTGTTAAATCCTTCTATGAAATCTTCTCTTCTTGTTAATTGAACTTATGCAAATGTCTTTGTGATCTGTATTGCTAGTTTCAGTTCCTCTATCTGCCTCGTAAATATCCCCTAGTATCCCAATCTAAACTTTCTTCTCCTTTCAGTTCACATTTTCTTCGGCATGATCTTATGCACTCTTGTGGTTTTAACCACAATGTGGGGCTTTTGCCTACAGTGACACCTCCCAATTACGTATTTTTAATCTGAATTCTCTCCTGACCTTCAACCTGTATATCCAACCGCCCGGTACACAACCATACCTTTCCATTCCACAGATATTTCAAGCTCAATGTATTTAAAAATAAATTCATTATCTTGAAACTCACTCTTAGTCTTCAACCAGCATTTCTGATTCAATTTGTATTCCCTCGGATTCATTCTGTTACCTAATCCTTAAGTTCGGAAATCATTCTTGCCTCCTCATCTTCTTAAACCAGAGGCACAACATTCACTTGTGCACTAAATAAGGTTGTACACAAAATAAGGAGGATCAGATAGTGGGGATAGGTCAGGGGATGGCATTTTTTTTTTTCTGTAAAGGCCCAGATAGTAAATACTTTAAGCTTCATAGGCCATATGGTCTCTATAACTACTCAGCTCTGCCATTGCAGCACAAAAGCAGCCATAGAAAATACATAAACATGTTAAGTGTGGCTGCGTTCCAATAAAACTTTATCTACAAAAGCAGGCATAGTTTGCTATCCCATGGGAACGATGCTGGAGTTGCTGAAATTCAGCCTACGTTCTACTTGGGCTAAACCAAGGGGCTGCATCAGCCCAGAGCGGGCACACAAATGGTGTCATTTAAGCTAGCAATTATTTTGTCTGAACTCCTCCTCCCCAAAATTTAATCATGACGTTATTTCAATTCTACTTTTCAAATAGCTCTGAATACATGTTCATTCCTCTCCATATTCACTATCGTTTCCCAAATTTAGGCCATGAACACTATTTCAAAGGCTTCAGAATCTAACTCAATATCCTAAAATTCTACAGCCAAAATTATCTTCTTAAAATTAAAATCAAACCATGTCACCAACTTACATAAAATGGAAAGTCTTTTTAGTCTATACAAAGCACATTTTGATCTGAATGCTAACCATTTAGCCTCACTGTCCATCCTGCTTTCTATTGAGCTTTGAATTCTAGCACCCTGAAACATTTGTAGCCCCAAGAAGCACACTTGTCTCTGTTTACCTGCTGTTTATTGCCGTTGCCTTTACCTGCCTTTCCTTCTTCAACTTTCCACTGAGAAGGCCATTTTCAGACTCTGAAACGAGGCTCAACTGTCATCTTCCTATGAATACATCCCTTCAATTCCCCACAACAGCTAACAGAATTAACCACTTCCTTGTCTTTACAAGTTCTTAATGTTACACACACATCAGTAATTGAACATATTATACTGCATTGGGATATATCTGACTACATGTTTCTTCCTCTCACTAAACCATGTACTTCATTAGGATAAGGATTGTATTTTAGTAATCTGTGTATCTGTAGCGCTTACCACAGAATGAATTCTCAATGTTTGTAGAACTGAATTGACTTGAATTCTGTCTGAAAACTCAAATCTGAAAGCAGCTACTCTCTGAAGTTGATTCCCAGAGAGGTCTGAAATACTGAGATGTTTCTATTTTGAATGCAGAAAGAACTTCCAGATCATTACAAGCCTTGGATGGAAATTGTCAACAAACTTCCTCACTTGATTGAGAGTCACCAGCTTCGAGCTCATGTGAACAAGGTATGTCTTTAAAAAATATATGTCTATATATATAATTGGAAACATTGCTGGCATAGTGGTTAAGAGTTCAGCTGTTAAACAAAAGGTCAGCAGTTCGAATCCACCAGCCCCTCCTTGGAAACCGTATGGGGCAGTTCTACTCTATCCTATAGTGTTGCTATGAGTCAGAATCCACTTGAGGGCAACAGGTTTGGTTTTGGTATATATATAATTAGCTACAGCCCATACAGTCATTACAGTATCGTACAGAATAGTTTCACTGCCTTAACAATGCCCTGTGCTCTACGTAGTCATTGGCTCTCCTCACCTCCCTGAGCCCTTGGCAACTACTGAGCTTTTCTTCTAAACTTTCTCCATAGCTTTACTTTTTGCATAATGTCATATAGCTGGAGTCATGCAGTACATAGCCTTTTCAGATGGCTTCTTTCAGTTAGCAAAATACATTTAGGTTCCTCCACCTTTTTTCATAGCTTAATAGCTCATTTCTTTTTATTGTTAAATAACACTCTATTGCATGGTTGCACCAATTTGTTTATCCATTCACCCACTGAAAGACATCTTGGTTGCTTTCAATTTTTGACAATTATGATTAAAGCTGCTATAAACATTCATGTACAGGCTTTTATGTGGACACATGTATTCAATCCCTTTGGGTAAATACCTGGGAGTGTGAAGGCTGTATTGTGTGGTAAGCCTATTTTTAGTTTTGTAAGAAACTAACAGACTGTCTTCCAAAGTGACTGTACTATTTGCATTCTCTCCAGAAATGAGTGAGCGTTCCTGTGGCACCACATGCTTGCCATCTTTGGTGTTGTCAGCATTTCGGATTGCAGCCATTCTAATAGGTGTGCAGTGGTATCTCATTGTTTTAATTTGCAATTCCCTACTAACACATGATGTTGAGCAGCTTTGCATATGCTTATTTGCCATCTGTATATCTTCTTAGGTGAAGTGTATGTTCAGATTGTTTTCTTATTTTAGGATTGAGTTGTTTGTTTTCTTATTGGTAAGTTTTAAGAGTTTGTTATATGTTTTGGATACAAGTCCTCTCGCAGATACATGATTTTCAAATATTTTCTTCAGTCTGTGGCTTGTCTTTTGATTCTCTTTACAAAATGTTTTCCGCAGAGCAGAAATTTTTAATTTTAATGAAGTTCAAATTATTTTTTAATGGGTAGTGCTTTTGGTGTTTTGTCTAAAACGTCACCATGAATCCCAAGATAACCTAGATTTTCTCCTGTGCTGTATTCTAGAAGTTGTGTAGATTAGCATCTTACATTTAGAACTATGATCCATTCTGAGTTACTTTTTGTAAAAGATACACAGTCTATGTCTAGATTCACTTTTGTTCCATGTGGATGGTCAGTTCCAGCACCATTTGTTGAAAAGACTATCATTTCTCCACTGAATTACCTTTACTTCTTTGTCAAAGATTAGTTGACTGTATGTGGGTCCACTTCTGGGGTCTCTTATATGTTCCACTGATTTATTTGTCTATATCTTTGCCAATATCATTCTGTCTTCATCACTTTAGCTTTATAGTAAGTCTAATAATTTGGGTGGCACAGTGGTTAAGTGTTATCGCTGTTAACCAAAGAGTCAGCGGTTTGAATCCACCAGTCACTCTTTGGAAACCCTGTGGGGCAGTTCTACTCTGTACTATACGGTTGCTGTGAGTCTGCATCGACTTGACAGCAATTGGTTTGGTTTTTAATAAGTTGGGTAGTGTCAGCTCTCCAACTCTGTTCTTCTTCAGTATTATGTTGGCTAGTATAGATCTTTTCATATAAACTTCATAATCAATTTGTTGATATCCAAAAAATAACTTGGTGGGATTTTGATTGAAATTGCATTGACTCTATAGATAAGCTGGGAAAAATTGATGTCTTAGTATTAAGTCTTCTTACCCATGAACATGGAATATATCTCAATTTATTTAGATCTTTTTTGATTTCTTTCATCAGAGTTTTGTAGTTTTCCTCATATATATCTTGTATATATTTTGGGGGATTTATATCTAAGTATTTCAATTTTTGTTGCTAATGTAAATGGTATTGTGTTTTTACTTTCAAATTCCAATTGTTTATTGCTGGTAGATGGGAAAGCAACTGACTATTGTATATTAACCTTGTATGCTACAACCTTGTTGTAATCACTTATTAGTTCCAGTAGTTTTTTTTTTTTTTTTGCTGACACTTTGGTATTTTCTACATAGACAGTCATAACGTGTGAAAAAAGACAGTTTCATTTCTCCCTTCCCAATTTGTATATATTTTATTTGCTTTTCTTATCTAACTGCATTAGCTAGGACTTCCAGTATGATGTTGAATAGAAGTGATGAGAGGGGTCATTCTTGTCTTGTTCTAATCTTAGGAGGAAAATATCTAGTTTCTCATCATTAAATGTATTAGTTGTAGATTTTTTTGTAGATGTTCTTTATGAATTTGAGACAGTTCCTCACTATTCCTAGTTTGTGAGAATTTTTATAATGAATAGGTGTTGGATTTTGTCAAATGCACTTTCTGCTTCTATTGATAGGATCATGTAATTTTTCTTCTTTAGTCTGTTGATATGATGAATTACATTAATTGCTTTGTGAAAATTGAACGAGTCTTGCATACCTGAACAAATTCCTTTTAGTCATGGTGTATAATTCTTTTTACACTTTGTTGGATTTGATTTGCTAATCTTTGTTCTAGGACTGTACATTCATGAGACATATTAGTCTATAATTTTGCTTCCTAGTCTTGTCTTTGGTTTTGCTATTAGGGTAACAGTGGCCACATAAAAGAGTTTGAGAAAGATTGACGTTAATTCTTGTATAAATGTTTGGTAGAATTCGCCCATGAAATCATTTGGGCTTGGAGCTTTGGGTTTTGGAAGATAATTAATTGTTGATTCAATGTTTTAAATAGATATAGGCCTATTCAGAGTACCTATTTTTCCTTGTGGGGTTTTAGTAAATTGGATCTATTTCATCTAACTTATCAAATTTGTGGGCTTAGAGTTGTTCATGGTTCTTTTATCCTTTCAATGCCCATGGGACCACTTGTTAAGAATAAGAAAAAAATAAAAGATCGTATGTTACCTTCATTTATTCCACTTTGAATTCTCTTCCTTTATTTATGCAGATGTGAGTTTCTGACCTGTACCATTTTTCTGCTCTCTGAAGAACTTCTTTTAACCTTTCTTGTAACGAAGGTCTAGTGGAGACAAATTCTCTAAATTTTTGTTTTTCTGACGAGGACTTTATTTCTTCTTCACTTTAGAAGGATAATTTTGATGTATACTGAATTCTAGGTTGGTGTTTTTGTTTAGTTTTGTTTTCTTTCCTTCAACACTTCAAGCACTTCGCTTCACTCTCTTGTCATCTGAAGAGATATCTAACTTAATTCTTATCATTCTTCCTTTACAGGTAAGATGTCTCCCCCCACCTTCACCCCAACTTCTTTCAAGATTTAAATTTTGTCTTTGATTTACTGCAGTTTGAATATGAAATGACTGTGATGTTAGGTGCCATCAAGTCACTTTCAACTGATAGCAATGTTATGTACAATAGAACAAAACACTGCCAGATCCTGCACCATCCTCACAATCATTGTTACGCTTGAGCCCACTGTTGCAGCCACTGTGTCAGTCCATCTCACCAAGGGTCTTCCACTTTTTTGCTGACCTTCTACTTTACCAAGCTTGACATCCTTTTCCAGGGACTGATCTCTTCTGATTACATGTCCAAAGTATATAAGACGAAGTCTTGCCATCCTTGCTTCTAATGAGCATTCTAGTTGTACTTCTTCAAGATAGATTTGTTCATTCTTCTAGCAGTCCATTGTATATTCCATATTCTTTGCCAGCACCACAATTGAAAGATAACAGTTCTTCTTTGGTCTTCCTTATTCATTGCCCAGCTTTTGCTTGCATATAAGGCGATTGAAAACACCATGGCTTGGGTCAGGTGCACCTTAGTCCTTAAAGTAATATTTTTGCTTTTTAACACTTTAAAGAGGTCTTTTGCAGCAGATTTGCCCAATGCAATGCACCCTTTGATTTCTTGACTGCTGCTTCCATAGGTGTTTATTGTGAATCCAAGTAAAGTGAAATCTTTGACATCAATATTTTCTCCATTTAACATGATGTTGCTTATTGGTCCAGTTGTGAGGATTTTTGTTTTCTTTATGTTGAGGTATAATCCAAACTGAAGGCTGTGGTCTTTGATCTTCATCAGTAAGTGCTTCAAATCATCTTCACTTTCAGCAAGAAAAGGTTGTGTCATCTGCATCTCACAGGTTGTTAATGAGTCTTCAATCCTGATGCCCTTTTCTTCTTCATATAGTTCAGCTTCTCAGATTATTTGCTCAGCATACAGATTGAATAAGTATGGTGTAAGGATACAACCCTGACGCACACTTTTCCTGATTTTAAACCACTCAATATCCCCTTGTTCTTTTTGAATGACTGCCTCTTGGTTTATGTACAGGTTCCTCAGGAGCACAATTAAGTGTTCTGGAATTCCCGTTCTTTGCAATGTTATCCATCATTTGTTATGAACCACACAGTCGAATGCCTTTTCATAGTCACAAAAACACAGGTAAATATCTTCCTGGTATTCTCTGCTTCCAGTCAAGATCCATCTGATATCAGCAATGATATCCCTCGTTCCACATCCATTTCTGAAACTGGCTTGAATTTCTGGAAGTTTCCTGTCAATGTACTGCTGCAACCACTTTTGAATGATCTTCAGCAAAATTTTACTTGTGTGGGATACTAAAGTTATTGTTCGATAATTTCCACGTTCTGTTGGATCAAGTAGCTGCCTTCCAAACTTCTCAACATAGATGAATGAGCACTTCCAGCCCTGCATCCATTTGTTGAAGCGCATCATTTGGTATTTGGTCAATTCCTGGAGCCTTGTTTTTTGCCAGTGCCTTCACTGCAGCTTGGACTTCTTCCTTCAATACCATCAGTTCTTGATTATACGCTGCCTACTGAAATGTTGAACA